GAATAGGCGTTTTTATACACAGAGACAGAGATCCTAGTAAGAGGAAATCGTCGAAAGGAAAACGAAAATTTTAGAATAAAAACAAATAGCCATGTGAAATGATCTCATTGCCTTCCAACTCTACTATTTCCCCAATGTCTTCGAATGTCCTTTGCCGTTGATCAAAGTTGATTGGATTGATCTTGGACTGTTTGGACTTGGACCTTGATGATAAAATTTGTAAGTATTGATTCCACGGGACATAGTCATACGCTTTTAATCCTTAATTTTTGCCTGGACTGCCCTTTCGGGTTTTCAGCCCACCAGGATACCCTTTTTTGCCCAAGTCGCCCTTTTAAGTTTTCAACTTGTCGGGTGTATAATCTTTTGCATATATCCCTAATTTTTGCCCAAACCTTTTGGCTTGTCGGGATGCCCTTATTTTTCTTAGGTGTGTCAACCTAACTGGTCTCTTATGCATAGTATTTTTTAACTATGTCCGCATTTATGGACTTAATGAGACCTATGCAGGTTGAAAGTCTAGGAGGAAAGAGGTATGCATATGTTGTTGTTGATGATTTCTCAAGGTTCACTTGGGTGAATTTCATCAAAGAGAAGTCTGAAGTGTTTGAAGTCTTTAAAGAGTTATGTCAAAGGATTCAAAGAGAGAAGGACTGTAGTATTGTTTGACTTAGAAGTGACCATGGGATAGAATTTGAGAATAGCAAGTTTAATTAATTCTACACCTCTGAAGGGATTAGTCATGAGTTTTCTTCACCTATCACTCCTCAATAGAATGGTGTGGTGGAGCGCAAGAATATGACTATTCAATAATGTGCCAGGGTTATACTTCATTCTAAGAAACTTCCATATCATTTTTGGGCTGAAGCTATGAACAATTTCGGCTATATTCATAATAGAGTAACTATCATATCGGGTATATTTGTTACTATTTATGAACTGTGGAATGGAAGAAAGCCAAGTGTGTAATACTTACATGTCTTTGGAAGTAAGTGCTACATTTTGGCAGATAGTGAGCAGAGGAGGAATTTTGATCCCGAAAGTGATGAGGGAATCTTTATGGGATACTCTACTAATAGTAGAGCCTATTGATTATTCAACTCTAGAACTAAGGTAATGATAGAATCCATAAATATGGTGGTTGATGACTCAACCAAAAAAGATGATGTCCCAGATGATGTTGAAAAATTTGTTCCCATGAATGATGATGTTCCTGAAGATGTTGCAGACTCAAGTGTCAATAATGAACCTGAAGAAACTGATGCAACTGACAAAGGACCCTCTATTAGGATTCAAAAAGATCACCCTAATGAGCTGATAATAGGAAGTCTGAATGAAGGAGTCAAAACTAGATCAAGGGAAGTTATGTCAAATTCTTGCTTTGTTTCAAAATTTAAACCAAAAAATGTCAAAGAAGCCTTTACTGGTTAATTTTGGATTCATGCTATGCAAGATGAACTTGGTCAATTCAAGAGAAATTAAGTTTGGGACTTGTTACCAAGACCTGAAGGAGTAAATGTGATTGGTACTAAATGGGTGTATAAGAATAATTCAGATGAACAAGGGGTCGTCACTAGAAACAAGGCCAAACTTGTTGCTCTAGGATACACTTAAATTGAAGGAGTGGACTTTGATGAAACATTTTCTCTTGTAGCTCGTTTGGAATCTATCAAACTATTATTTGGATCCGCATGTCTCTTAAAGTTCAAGTTGTTCCATATGGATGTTAAGAGTACCCTTTTAAATGGCTATCTGAATGAAGAAGTATATGTTGAACAACCAAAAGGATTTGTTGATCCTTCTTTTCCAAAGCATGTGCTCAAGTTAAAGAAGGCGTTATATGGTTTAAAACAGGCTTCAAGAGCTTGGTATGAGAGGTTGACTGAGTTTCTCATTAACCATGGAAATAAAAAGGGAGAAATTGACAAAACTCTCTCTATCAAAGAGAAAGGTGGAAAACTTATGATAGCTCATATTTATGTGGATGATATTGTCTTTAGAGGGATGTCGGATGAAATAGTCCAGCAATTTGTCAAACAAATGCAATCTGAGTTTGAGATGAGTTTGGTGGGTGAATTAACATTCTTTCTTGGGTTACAAGTCAAGCAGATGGAAGACTCCATTTTTATTTGTCAAAGAAAATATGCAAAGAATATTATGAAGAAATTTTGATTGGAGAATGCCAACCATAAGAGAACTCATGTTCCTACACACTTGAAGCTATCCAAATACAAAAAGGGAATTAATGTTTATCAAAGTTTATATAGAAGCATAATTGGTAGTCTTCTATATCTTACAGCAAGAAGAACCTAAAGTGAGTCACATCAATCAAGTCTAGAGAATTCTGAAGTATGTGAATGGTACATGTGAGTATGAAATGTTGTATTCTCATGACTCAAACTTAGTGCTTGTGGGATACTATGATGTTTATTGGGATGAGAGTGTTGATGATAGAAATAGTGTCTCTGATGGATGTTTCTTCTTGGGGAACAATTTGATTTTATGGTTCATCAAGAAACAAAATTGTGTATCTCTATCTACAACTCAAGTTGAATACATTGTTGCAGGAAGTAGTTCCTCTCAACTTGTATGGATGAAATCGATGTTATCTAAATATAATGTCACACAAGATGTCGTGGCATTGTTTTGTGACAACTTGAGTGCTATTAATATTTCCAAAAATTCTATTCAGCAAAGTAGAACTAAGAACATTAATATGAGGCATCATTTCATTAGAGAGCTGGTTGAAGACAAAGTCGTGACTCTTGAGCATGTTAGCATTGAAAATCAGCTTGCTGACATTTTTACTAAAGCTTGAGATGCAGTTCAGTTTGAAAACTTTAGGAGAAGACTAGGGATCTGTATCTATGAGTACTTATAGAAATTATTATTATTGTTGTGGGTCAATTAAATCCTGCATCATGGTATTTTATTGGCTATGGATAGTGTTAAGAAAAGGAAATCTCATTTATCTTTGCATTATAGATTGTTTGGTGGAACACATGTTCCATACATTGTTGTGACATCTTCCTAGGTGAAGATTCCAGACATTGTTGTGACATTGTTGCATCTACTGGTGCTGATGGGCAAGGAGAAAAGTATGATGCGTGATTATTGCTTCTGTGACTCCTTTTTATTTTTATTTGTGTACTTATTTTTACTGGCTTATGATTTTGTAAGGGTTAAATGCCCAGGATGTGTTTAGTATATGTGTACACTTTATGTGTTAATGTCCTTACCTTTGTCATATTATGGATAAAAAGGGGGAGTGTTAATATGTGTGATCTAATCACTGGTTGCTGCTTTTGAGGGGGGGGGGGGGGATTTTATATTCTCTAAAAGGTTACTTAGCATATTTTGAGGGGGAGTTCCAGTTCTGGATTGGATTGTTGTGAAGAGTTGTCACACATGATGTCCTGACATATTGAGAGTTTATTCTCTTGTTTCTGTAATGAGTAGCTTTCACTGTACTCTGATAATTTTTCTGTTGTGCCTCTGATATTTGTGTTTGGTTTATTTTCAAATCTGAGATGTTTTTATGTTAATGTGTGCAAGGAGTATTAAGTTATTTTAGCCAAATAAGCCAAAGGGGGGAATTGTTAATTCTCTATTGTTTATGATTAGAATTATGTTTGGTAAAACTAACTTAGCGGAAACCTGTTGAAATAAGATGTTTTGTCAACTGGAGAAACATATTGAACGAGATGTCCTATGCAGAATTATTCGACATCGGGCCTGTGTACAGCTGGAAAGTTGGATGTTTTTAGTTTATTAAAGATGCAGAATATTCTAGGAATATTATGATATCCTATGTGGAGCTCAGTTTAAATATTAAGAGATTCAAGCTTAATTCAATGAGTATTCTTAGTTTCTAATTATGGAGAAAATTTAGGAAACTAATGATTGAAGTCATATTTTTATGCAGAAGTTTCTGCAGATTTTTAGCAGCTGATTTATTGCGTTTTTGAAGCTCAATCCAGTCTAAAAGATTGTTTTAAAAGATTTCTACAAACCTAGTTTAGGAGTGGAACTTACGTGTGTTTTTGTTAGGGTTTGTGTGTGTTAATTATGAGCCTCTCTAATATCATCTTGATAAAAGAGTAAGACTGTTCTATTGTCTTGTAAGTTCAGTCAACCATTCTAAAGCTTTTAAACATTGAATGATTGTGTATTTTTTGAAGGTTGTCTTCTAATTCTTTTGAATTGTGTTCTTGTCATTGTTTGTGACTGAAAGGGATTTGAGAAGGGTCTCATACTTAGGTGAGTCTTAGGTAGAAGTTATGCACGAGTAGTGATTAAGTGAGTAGATTATAAACTTGTGATAGTTTGTTGTTAGTCTATAAATTGATATTATTTAGTTGACTTTGTCCCTAGCTTGGTAGCATCTAGATTAGGTGTTGTTGTACACCAAACTGAGTTAACAATTCTGTGTATTTCTTTAATTTTCTGTACTGCTTTATTGTTTTACATTGTTCATTGCGTTGTTGTTCAGAGATCAGTATCTCAACATATCTTAAGACATCTGAGATCTAACTACCAGAATTTCAATAAACGTTTAATTATTCGGAGAAATTAAAATAATATACAAACTAATGGTAGAATTAACCTAATAAAATTAAAACGGAATCAATTAACTTAACCAAATAAATTAAACTAAAAGGTAGTTAAGTAAAAACCTAAATTAAATAATTAACTAACTAAAAAAATCTAATTAGAGTAAATGAATAGACTGTGGGGTTTATAAAGGAAATTGAGGAGATCAACTAAAACAAAAGTCCATTGTACATTTAAGCCCAAGTTATTCTCTAAAATCTTAATCAAATACTAATGAAATTAAGAAAGCTAAATAAAATCTAAATAATTAGAAAATTAACAAAGTTAAACTATAATATATATACACACATATGAAACAAACAAAACGAAATTTAAATAAAAAACGTTAAAGCAAAACAAAACAGAGGTAGTACTTCCGCGGTTTCGGTTGTTAGTGTATCACGATAATGATGATGGGTATCAGAAACAGGGTGCAGAAGTGGAAGGTTGAGTGTCGTGTGGTTCAAGTGAGGTACGAAGAAGAAGGTTCGTGGCTGTGCGGAGGGAGTATGGAATATGATTGGAGAACAGAGGTTGGTTTTTCGTGGTGGAGTATGAAGAAGATGGTGATGTCGTGGAGAGGAAGGGTGTTGTATGTGTGGTGAGTAGAGAGAGGAAGAGATGGGTTACAGTGATGATGATTACAGACGGAGAAGGAGTATGTGTAGGTGGAATGGTTTGAACAATGGTGAAGTAGCGAAAATGAAGAGAAAGTTTCGGCCGTTTTTTTTGTTGTTGTTCTTATAACACAACACCTAGGGTTTAGCAATTAACACTTTTTTTTTATAAGATCAAGTTAAAGTTTTAAAAGAATAAAAATTAATATAATTTAAAACATTTTTATTTTTATTTTTCTGAATAAAAAAAGAATATTTAAAATAATCAAAATCGATCAAAAATGAATATTTAACTAATCGAAAAAATGAAATGAACACATTAAATTAAATTACAGGTCACAAAAATTAATTAAAAAAATTGCAAATGATCAAAATCGAAATAAAATGAGAATAAAAATATTCGGTTGCACAGTTGCTGACGGCTAAGAACGAGACTGCAAACTGTACAAAAAAAAATAAAGTGAATACACTAACATGACTACGCGAAATGCAGATTCATAAAACATTAGTAAAATATGAAAACTTAAAATATTTTCTTGTTAATTTTTCGCAGTGTTGAGTTGCTTTTAACGGTCTGTCTGTAGAACTGAAATATCAATATTATCAACATATAAATAATTTGATGCAATGCGTGAAGCAGGTAAAGATATAAAAATCCATGAAGTGAAATAACGAGTATTTTTCAATTATAAAATGATGTGAATGTTCATTTAAATTGACTTTTGGTCAACCTAAATGCATGGTGACTGACTTATGATGCAAATATGATTAATGAATGGCCCTGGGGCAAGATTGGGGTATGACAGCTGCCCCTATTTAATTTTGCTTAACTAGATAGCATCATAGTGAAAGGTAAGTGAATACAAAAAGACCCAAGTTTTTTCCCTTGGGTAACGATGAAATGCCATGTAATGCACCGACTCTTTTTTGACATATTTTTTTTGTATATGATATGATATGAATGCATAAGATAAGACACTTTATGGGAAAACTTGAAACAAAAGATTTATGGTAGATTGAATGAGACTACATGATAAGACACGTTGGGGAACACAAGTTATTTCTGAATATCCGTCAAGACGAAAAATAATATACATTAATACTTGAAAAGACGGAGACAACACCCTGAAAAGACAGATAGTGAAATCCAAGAATGGCTTTGATAGAAACTACAACCAAGATAAAGGTACGCTCCAAAAGATGTCCAAGAATGACATTAAACTCTACTGGAGATTACAACATCCAATTACTGGCTTTAGATGGAAACACAAAATCATGGTATCCAATTATTGGCTTTGGATGACAGGAAAAGAGAATTATGACATCCAGTTATTGGCTTTGGATGAAAGAATCATAACATCTAATTATTGACTTTACATTATGCCAAAAATGCTTTAAGGAAGTGCACTTTAGACAGCGCTTCTGTACCAAAGCGCTGCTATATGTCCCAATAAAATTTTAAATTTTAAAATTATATACATTAGACAACGCTTTACAGAAAAGCGATGCGTAAAGTTGAGAAAAAGCGTTGCCTTAGGTTCATTAAAGAAAGCGCTGCTATATGTTTCGATAAAATTTTAAATTTTAAAACTATATATATTAGACATCGCTTTACAGAAAAAGCATTGTGTAAGGCCCAACAGTAGAAAGCGCTGCCGTAGGCCCAAAGCGCTGTTAAAGTCACACTTTAGACAGCGCTTTCTAAAAGTGTTGTCTAAGGTCAATTAAAATTGAAATTAAAAAAATTAATTCTAGAAACTATGCCATATGGTCCAAAGCACTGTTAAAGCCACACTTTAGGCAGCACTTTTAAAAAACGATGCCTAAGGTTAATTAAAATTAAAATTAAAATTACAATCTAGATTTTGCCTCGTTACTTTCTATTCTCCACTGTTCTTCTTCTGCAAAACGAAAACCCAAATTAATCTCCTTCCATACAAACTCACAAAAATCCAAATTAATCTCCTTCCTTACAAACTCATGAAAATCCCAAATCAATCTTCTTCTCGTTTCTGCAAAACTCCTTCTTCTCAAACTCTCAATCTCAAAAAACCTCAATCTCAAACTCGTTCATTCGCCATTGATTTCCCATACGAACTTCTGTCGTCCATTGATTTCATATTCTCAAACTCTCAATCTCAAAAATCGAAGAAAAATTTCCCGTTAATTTCGCCGTTCAAATGTTACTGTTGTTGGTGTTCGCATAACAAATTACTTCTTCTTCTTTTGAATTCCTTTGATTTTCTTCTTTTCATGTTTGTTATTGTTATTGTTGTTATCTGTAATTTTTGTTCTTAGAAATTGGTATAAATCTCAGTGTAAATATGAAGTAGCAATGATAAATATGAAGTAGTAGTGATAATGAAATATGAGACAAGTTGTTTTTGTTTTGATCTCTAAGCTTCTATTTGACATATAAAACACGGCTTCGAAATATAAAAGGGTTTAGATTTAGAAGAAATTAGGGATTGGAATCCCGAAAGACATAACACAACTGGGAGACCCTTTTTAAAACTCTGCCATAGAGTCTTCTGCATTAAATCACTACCATATATAATAATATTTCATCAATTAAAATTAATTTGAAGCACTAACATATCTATATAACAAAAAGTAGGAGAGAAAAGAAATGAAAACGGGAACAAGAGACATCATTCTCTTTGGCATAATAATTATATTCTCTGGCTCTTCTTCAACTATGGGTTCCAACTTTGAAAATATAGAATAAAAACGTTTTCTAGGGGTTACGAAGAGAGTAGGTGCAACATCTCTGAAATTTTGGATGCTTCTCATTTCCATCTTCACCATCTTTCTTATCATACTTAATAATTAATCTTAATCTCAAAATAATTAATCTTAATCTCCAAGCAACATCCAGTCACCATCTTTATCCTTATAGATAAGCATGTATTTCTTCTTACTCATCAAATTAGTACTACCAAACATGGTATCCACTGCCCTCAGAAGATGCTCATAACTGTCGTAAACTTCGAGATCGACTTTTCTTAGATACGGAGCTCCATCAACAATAACTTTGACGTACTTGCAAGTTTTCATGGCAATATTTTTTCTGTTTCCTCTCACCGGTGGCCATCCGACCACATGTTTGGTCCCAAGATGAAGATCAAGTGTAGTGGAGGAGAAGGTACGTTTTGTGGATGCTGAAGGTTAGGTTTTTGGTGGAACCAAGGAGAGCAAGAGTGAGCTAAGTCTCCTCTTAAATATTCATGTTCAAAGTTGTAAAGTTGTGATATATGTTTAGATATTAATATAGTAGACATTCCCTATTAGTTACTGGTTTATCTTTATGATCTAACTAATCATTACTTAACCATTTGAGCTGTAAAGTTAGCATTGTCAAGGTTATACAATAATTTATACAATTATTTTAGGGTAATTGTCTTAATGATACTGTTGAATAATTTAAACAGTTAGTTTTCCCCTTTTTCTTGTTTGAAAAATCAAAAAGTTTTTTCCATTATTTTCAGTATATAAATATAAATGCCATTTGTTTAAATTTTTAAATATTTTCAAAGATATAAGATGAAAAACGTGTTTACACATGACTATTGTTCATTAGCTTATTAGATACGTGTTTCTTTTTTTAATAATGGTATTAAGATGCTAATTTATTGCAATTCTATAATGCTAATTTATATAGCTTCTCATTCATTTTTTTCCAGCGTCATAAACATCGGTCAAAAATATCTTTGCTAGGGGTTACTTGTGAAGAGTGAAATTCTGATTGTTTCCAAGAATCTTACATTGTGTGGTTTCAGAAGTTGTTGGCTTTTCTACAGGTAATTAGTTGTTCTTTTGTTATAGTTGCGTGAATAATTATAGTGTTTTTGTTTACCTTACTTAGTAGTAAAACCATGGATAAAAATTAGATGTCTTACAATCGATTGTCAAAAGAGTACGAGAATGGGGTATCAGAATTCGTTAAGTTTGTTGTTGAACACGCCGAAGACCCCAGTCGAATGAAATGTACTAGCTTAGGTTGCTGTTATGGGAGTCGAGTTGACGCAGTTGGGTTGAAATCACATTTACTGAGGCATAGAATTGATCGAAGTTATACATGTTTGATATTACATGGTGAGATAAGTAACGAGAATATTAAATCGGGAGATAGTACGACAAATCTTCATACGACAAAGGCACAGATATATACGATTGTGATCGAGTAGAAGAGATTGCAGAAGCACTTGAAGAAGATTTTCAGGATTGTTCCAAAATGTTTTAGAAGTTGGTAAGCGACGCAGAGAAACTATTGTATAAAGGTTGTACTAAATTCACAAGACTATATGCGGTATTAAAGTTGTATAACTTAAAGGTGCGCAATGCATGGTCGGATAAAAGTTTCACATAGTTATTAGTCCTTATGAAAGATATGCTTACAGAGGATAATGTTCTTCCTAATTAAACCTATGAGGCCAAAAAATGTTGTGCTCTATTGGCATGAGCTATGATAAGATACATGCTTGTCCAAATGATTGCATTTTATTTCGAAATGAATATGCATCGTTAAATGAGTGCCCTAAATGTGGTTTATCTCGATATAAGAAAAAAATTATCTCCAGCAAAAGTCTTATGGTATTTTCCTATAATTCTGAGATTTAGAAGCATGTTTCGTAGTGAAACTGATGCAAGACACTTGACTAGGCATGCAGATGAAAGAATTATTGATGGAAAGTTTCGACATCCGGTAGATTCACCACAGTGGTCGAAAATTGATAATGATTATCTTGATTTTGGAGGAGAAGCAAGAAACCTTCGCTTGGCATTATCTACTGATGGAATGAACCCGCATTGCTTTCAAAGTATCTCACATACCACATGGCCTGTAATTATTATTATTTATAACCTACCTCCATGGCTATGTATGAAGCGCAAGTACATGATGTTATATATGTTAATTTCCGGACCTAAACAACTAGGGAATGACATAGACGTATACTTGACACCTTTAATCAAATATTTATAGATTTTGTGGGAGAACGTTGTGGAGGTTTATGATGGATATAGGAAAGAAATTTTCAATTTGAGGGCGATGTTATTTGGCACAATTAATGACTTTCCAGGATACGCAAATCTATCAGGGTATAACATTAAAGGTCAAAAAGCATGTCCTATTTGTGAAGAAAACACAAATTGGAAGCAATTGGAATTTTATCAAAAGAATGTATTTCTCGGTCATCGTAGATTCTTAAATTCTAATCATCACTACTGTGGGTGGAGAAAGGCATTAAATGGAAATCCAGAACATGATAGAGCTCCACCTACATTGACAGGTGACCAAATTTTTGAATAGGTGAAAGATATGAGTACTCGGTTTGGCAAGCATTTTGCACATACGCTTATCAAACGTGGGTGGAAGAAGAGGTCAATTTGTTTTTGAATTTCCATATTGGAAGTCGTTGTATGTAAGACATTTTCTTGATGTTATACATATTGAAAAAATTGTATTACTAAGTGTTATTGGTATGTTACTCAATATATAAGGAAGGTCTAAGGATGACCTTAAAGCAAGAAAGGACTTGATAGAGATGAGAATAAGAACTGAATTAGGACCCATGAAGAAAGGAAAACAAACATATCTTCCGCCTGCTGCTTATACTTTATCTAGAAAGGAGAAAAAATATTATGTAATTTCTAAATGAAGTTAAAGTTCCAGAAGGTTACTCTTCAGATATTAGAAGACTTGTGTATATGAAAGAGCTCAAGTTAAAGAGTTTAAAGACACATGATTGCCATGTTATAATGGAGAATTTTCTACCAATAGTTATACGTTCTATTTTTTCAAAAAAAGTAAGAAGCGCCATAACTAAATTATGTTTTTTCTTCAGGTCAATTTATAGTAAGGTGATCGATCCTGAGACCTTACCAATATTGCAAAAAGAAATAGTTATTACTTTGTGTGAGATTGGAATGTATTTTCCTCCCTCATTTTTTGACATTATGGTACATCTTGTTCATCTTGTGAAAGAGACACAATTGTGTGGACCAACTTATATGAGATGGATGTATCCTGTTGAGCGTTATATGAAAATATTAGAAGGGTACGTGAAAAACCGAAGTCGACCAGAGGGTTGTATGGTTGAACGATACATTGTTGAAGAAGCAGTTGAGTTTTGTACTTAATATATGTCCAATGTTCAATCCATTGGACTGCCCAAATCTCATATTTTCGAAAGGAAGGAAGGAAAAAATTTAATTGGAAATAAAATTGTGACAATATCAAGGGTTGAACGGGATCAAGTGCATTTGTATGTTCTGCATAATAACAATGAGGTTGAGTCATATGTTGAAATGCATAAGGATGTACTCCGGAGTCTAAATCCGAATAGAAATGAAAATTATATAGTATAAGAGCACAATCAAAGTTTTATACAATGCTTCAAATATCATATTTATTCAAAGTTTTATTTAGATCCCGCTTCAATAACATAAAGGTTTAGATGTTTAACATATGATCTGAGTTTGCATGTGTTTTCTTATAGCACGTACACAATTAATGGATACACATTTTATACCAAAGAACAAGATGATAAAAGTACTATGCAAAATAGTGGTGTCACTGTGGTAGCCGAAGCAATGCACATTTCAAGTATGAAGGACTTAAACCCCAAATATGCAAATCTGTCATATTTTGGGGTTATCGAGCACATTTGGATGTTTGATTATGAGAAGTTTTAGATTTCTATATTTGGTTGCAAGTGGGTACATAATAATGGCATACGAATGGATAAGTCGGGATTTTTACAAGTGGATCTTAATAGGGTGGCGTACAAAGATGAGCCTTTTATTCTAGCCTCTCAAGCTAAACAAGTGTTCTATGTCAATGATCCAACAAGTACGAAATGATCTATAGTGATTTTATCTAACAAAGTGATTGATGATTACAGTGTAAATCAAAGTGATATTAATGTTGAGAATGAGTCATATGTTAGAGGGAATAAGTCGTATATACGAAATGATCAATATGAGAATATTATAGCAGATGAATCATATATTAGAAATGATCATAATGAGGGAATTTGGATCAATCTGTCCGTGTTGTTAAGAGCCAAGTAATTTATATTTCGACCAAAAAAATAAAGAGATGTTAGTGAAAAGGGTACTAGTAAAATGTTATATGTTCTGTCATTCAATAAAAGTGTTATATTGTGTTTATTCATGCAATGCTACTTGAATTTTATATTGTGTTTATGTTTTTCTTTATTACATGTCAAATGGATAGTAACAAGGAAAATCACTTGATGCTTCTAATAATGATGGAAATGAATCAGTTCATGATGTGGAGAATGATATTAGATGAGGAATAACTATTATGAATTCAATCATTCGTGCAAGAGATAAAGGTTCCAAATTTGACATACATTAGAATAAAGACAAACAACTAATTGAGCCCAATGGTTCAATATTGACAAGTTACATTGGTTCCCTTGTGAGGAGAGAAGTTCCAATCACTTGTGATTATTAGAGAAATCAAGAGTTGAAACCCGCTAAAGAAAAAATATGGAGTGATATACAGGTACCATATGTGATGTCATTTGTTTTTGTTGACTATTATGTCTTTAAATTACTAACGCAATTTATGTATGTTTTTTGATAGAGGTATTTTAACATTGATGATGATCAAAAAACATATTGTCTTCAATTGGCCAGAAAAAGACTCAGAGAGTTTCGATCTTTTTTAACAAACAAGTTTCTTAGGGATGCCGATAACAATTTTATCGATGCAGAACTTCCAAAATGTAGGCAGGCTTGATTTCACCTGAAGAATGGGAAACCTTTAAAGACAAACAAAGAACCTCATATTTTTAAAATGTGAGTGTCGTAAATCGCCAACGAGCATCAAGCCCCCCGTATCCATACAAAAATGGGCGTATAGGATATGCACGCTTACAACAAAGAATGGTAAGTATATATAAATGCTATGATATACTTGTTCATCATGTGTTACAATTGATCTTATTATTTCTCTTAATGTTTAGTTAGAAGAGGAGAAAAGTCAAGAAACATCTCTTCTGGAACATGTGTTTATGGAAGGGTGCTCGCGTGGGTAAGGATAAAGTTGTTAAGAAAGATGTTCAACAAATTTATGAGCAATGTGTAAGTATATCAATATTCATTTAATCAAATCAAAATTTTATTAACATAAAGAATTTATGAGTTTTAATCACCACTAATTTATTTTGACATGCATATGAATTTCAGGAGAATTTATCTCAATCTTTAACTTAAGCTGAAGAGCATGATTGCGAGAGCATACTTAGTCGAGTATTAAATGTTCCTGAGTATACCAGTTGTGTGAGGGGTAAGGGATTCAGGTGACTCAAACATCTTTGGGTAACCATCAAAAGAGGAAAGGTAATAGCAATAAAGAAGTGATGGAAGAGTTAGAAAAATTAAAAGCTAAAGTTCGTGAGTTGGAAAAGGATAAATAAAGACATCAGTCAGAAAGACAAGGTTCAGGGTTCAAGAGTACTAGTGACAAAGATAGTATAAATTGTGATTTCCAACAGAAAAATCCCGAGGTAATATATATTATTATGAATTAGCACAATTTTTTTAATTGACATATATACACATTAACAATTTTATATTTATTATTGGTTTAGGGCATTTCACCTTGTCAGCTCTATTTCTCGTCACCGACTTATCGTATGGTTGGCAAGGGAAAAGTGC